ATGTCCTTCCCAGCTAGAGCAGGGGTCCCACCATCTCAGAGGGAACAAGATCTTCACCGTGTTCCCTGTGGCAATTAGGAGGTCAGTGACTTTGCGTCGGTTGCTTGTGAATGTGAAGTTTCCCGTGATGACAATAAAGTGGTCCTAAGTCCAACATCTTTCCAGCCATATGGTTTCTATAGTTTCCTTGAGGTGGGGTGGAGAGAGTTAGAAGAAAGGAAGTGTAACAGACAAGAGGAAAAAAAAATATCTGAAAGCCAGTGGAAATAGAAGAGAGGCTGGCCTTTCCCTCCACTGGCCACTCCAGAAATGCTGAATTTCATTTGTCTCCATGTGGGTTTCCCAGCTCACCTGCTGCCCACAGTGCTAACATGGTTATGGTGAGACAAGTGACTGTAAAAACGGCACCTCCTCACTCAGCATAACGGTTCTCTGCAGACCTCCGAGTCATAGCTGCTCCACTTACTGACAAAAGCAAGCGTTTATTGCTGCTGGCACCATGGAGCCAAAGCGGCCAGTAAAGCACAGCGAGATACTTATTGGACGTGCACATTGTCAGCACAACTGTCAGGGAAATTCCCCTTCCCGAATCCTTCAAGGGCCGAGGATGCAAGGGGCTGATCCACCGCCCAGGGCTGGCAGTCAGCAACGTGAAAGCAAAACGCAGGGGGAGCTCCTCTTCACTGTCACTTAATGACGCCACGCTGGTGTCATTTGTAACCATTACTTGGGAGAGGACGATTGCGTGGTAAAGTCCAAATGTTAACATCATGAAATGGATGAAGTTAACCAGTATGGCCGGAGCTTTATAGGAAAGGAAAAGTGCTGGCAAAGTCCTGGCTGCAGGCTAGAGAGCCACTGAGTTGTTTCAGGAGAATCTGGCTTTCTTTGCCCCTGAACAGAGCCGCCATACATCATTCTGGAGGGGGTCAGGGCTGCAGTTTCAGGGAAGAGAGGCAGAGCCTGAAGAACTAGGTGCACAGGGCTCTGGCCCCGCAAAACAGAAAGGGGCAGCCCTCCGCCCAGGGTTGCCTGGGGCTGTCAGAACAGCAGGGTCACAGAGTGTGGCTCTAGCATGAAAGTGTTCTGGTCTGAGTATCTGGAGTCACTTCCTGGTTGTAGACCTTGGAGAGAATACCTGACCTTTGTTAAGCCTCAGTCTCTCACCTATATGGTATGCCCATGATGGTACTGACCCCAGACGGTTGTTCTAAGACTTAAAAGAGATCTGGGGCACAAAGGTGCAAGCCTGGCGCGTCATAAAAGCTCCATGACTGTTACCTACAATGATGATATCAGGATGAGAAACGAGCAAACAGCCCTCGCCTCTCCACCGCACCTGAGCCGGTGAACCTGTCAGATGGGCGAGGCATAAGCCGGGCCAGGCAGTGGCCTTGTGGACACAGAGGGATGTGGCTCTGCTACCCTGAGAAATTCCCTCCTTCGGGAAGGAAGTGTCAGCGTCGCATGGCGATGAGGACGCCCATGCCAGGTGGGGCGGCGGGGGATGGAGGAGAGACGGGTGAGAAGGGCAGACAGGGAGGGTCACCTGTGTGCTTGGTGCCGATGTGCACCTTTATCTCCGTCTCCTCCATGGTGACGAAGTCGCAGGCCGTACAGCAGATGGAAAACATCCACTGCTCCTTGTCCACATGGAGTGACATGTGGCTGACAAACTGGACGTTGAGCTCCGTCTCAAATCCGCACACGTGACAGCTGTACGGGACGAGAGAAGAGTGAGCCTCTAAATGGAGGCTACCCAGCTGCACGCGGTACACGCCGAAATCTGGACCTCGACACGCGTTTTCCTCCCACCAAAAGGCTTTGCGTTAGAAAATTCTTCCACGTTCTGGGACACCTCTGAAGTGGTCACTGTGCCAGACAGGCTGAGTGCCAGCATAATGTATCAATCCCATTCATGCTATAACTATGCTAAATAATCATAAAGTTAATTAAAAATTACAGATTCCAGATGCTGTGCGTTAACCTAACTGATTCCTTCGGGCAAAGAGATGCGGGGCAGCCTTGCCAAGATATCAGCAGAGCTGGTGCGCTGATAAACTCGGACAGGATTCGATAGCAAGCCTGAAAACTCGGGACTTTATAGCAAACAAACCAAATACTGATTCACGGTTGAATATGGAAGAGAAACATACCATTCCAGGTACTAAAGGATAGCACAGCCAGGGGAAAGTATGCAATACTTCCAGGGCTATTCCCTCAGGGTTCTCAGATTCATTTCTCCTTAGGATAATTCTCAGGAAGCAGCGAGGTGCTCAGTGACAAAGGTGGGAGCTTCCCAGCTGCCCAGACCTCACAGCTCATCACCCCTGAGCCCTGCCACTCTCTGGACTCTGCTCCACAAAGCCACCTCGAAGACCTCCACCCTTTTAATTAACTCTCCCAGGGCCACCCAAGCCAGGAGGGAGTCAGTGCAACACAGGGTTCAATCCAAGCAAAGCCGATATTAAAAGGAAGCTCAGCCCTGTGACTGAGAAAAGACACTTTGTCATGTGTGCCCTAGCAGATGGGCAGGGAGTGTTCAAGAAAGTCTGGGCAGCCTGGACCAGCAGGTTCCACTGGCGGCTCACCTGTAATAATAAGGGTGCTTCTTCCCATCACTGCCTTCAGAGGTGACGGCGCTGACGATGTCCTCGGTGTCCGTACTCACCAGCTTCACCGAGTGGACGGTCAGGTGCTGGTTCAGGTTTGCGCGGCACTTAGCAGCATACGGGCACAAGTGGCATTTGTATTTTCTTTCCTCTGGGGGAGAAGGGACAGGAAAAAACCCAAACCACTCTCAGAAATGAAATCCCAACACCTTGCCAAAGACCACTTAAGGGTATCAAGGAAAGGAGGGTTCAAATCTCATTTCCAATGGGGACAAAGGGAACACTTTGGAATTTTAAATATCTAAAAAGTCTTCACATGGCAGGTCGCTTCTGCTTTCAGACTTTCAAAGCTGAAAGAAAGTTCCGGGGCAACTGGGCCATCTGCTTTTTCCTGGGTACCTATAGGCCCCTCTTCCTGATAACGTGAGCTCCATGCAGGCTACAAGAATAATTTATGTGTGTGTGTGTGTGTGTCCAAGCCCCGACATGTGTCAGTCCAGGGTGGGTGCTGAGCTGAGGAAGGGGATATGATCAGCCTTCCCAGGACTGGTGTGTAAGAGAAGCCCCTCATTTTTCCTAAGCTCCAGGCCTGAGTTAGCCAAGAAATAAACACTAATGACATTAAAGGGACTCCAGATGAAATAACTTAATTGGAAATTTTCATGCTACATAGATAAAATAAAAAACTTTAGTTGATTTCTTAATAGAAACCCTTTCATAAAACTGACGATGTTTCAGGGCTGTTTCCAGAGTGGCATTCTGAATTCATTTGATTAATTAAGGAAATTAAAGGAGCAGTCTTTGCTTTTAGGTACAGATCAAGGTAACAGATGGTAGCAGAGGAAGGAAAGAACAGCTTCCTTTTCTATCCTTACTTCTGAATTTGTAATAGTGGGCTCACCTTGAAGAAAACACCTGTCTTATCTACACGGGAAAGAGTGTGGAAAAAAATTTGTCTGCAACAAAATGTAAGGCATCATTATTATTATAGGTGGTCCCCAGCATCCGAGGTGCTGGTGGCCTGGGCTTCGCGGGGTTGGGGAGGAGTGCAGATAGAAGAGAGTCTTTTCTTTAGAATTTGTGCATTTGTATTAATAAGTGAGGTTGGTAAGTTTTGGTATTAAGGTTATGATTTCTTTATAAAGTGAATTGTTGAGCTTTCTTTTTCTATCATTTGGAAAAGTTTAAGAATATCAGAATTTCCTAGTCTCAACAAGTTAAAAAGAACCCAGCTGGGGGCTTCCCTGGTGGCGCAGTGGTTGAGAATCTGCCTGCTGATGCAGGGGACATGGGTTTGAGCCCTGGTCTGGGAAGATCCCACATGCTGCGGAGCAACTAGGCCTGTGAGCCACAACTACTGAGCCTGCGCGTCTGCAGCCTGTGCTCCACAACAAGAGAGGCCGCGATAGTGAGAGGCCCGCGCACTGTGATGAAGAGTGGTCCCCGCTTGCCGCAACTGGAGAAAGCCCTCCCACAGAGATGAAGACCCAACACAGCCAAAAATAAATAAATTAAAAAAAAAACCAATGAGCTGACATTAAAAAAAAAAAAAAAAAAAAAGAACACAGCTGGGAAAGTTTCTGGACCTGATGCTTTTATTAATAGTATCTCCATCATCTTTCCAAATTCCCCTTTGGTAACTGATTTACTTAAGTACCACCACCTCCCCCGACCCAGGTTGGGTTAATTTTGGAAATTTTGCTTAAATTATCTATGTCTTCTAAAGTTTTCAGTTTTTTTTTTTTTTTTTTTTCCTTTTTTTTTTGCCATAGAGTTGCCCTTATTCTCCAATAATTCTTTAACAGCATCTGTATTAAGAATAAGGCTTCCCAACCTAAATGTCCATCAGCAGGTGAATGGATAAAGAAGATGTCATACATATATACAATGGAATACTACTCAGCCATAAAAAAGAATGAAATCTTGCCATTTTGCAGCCACATGGGTAGACTTGGAGGGCATTATGCTTAGTGAAATAAGTCAGACAAAGAAAGACAAATACTGTATGATATCACTTATATGTGGACTCTAAAAAATACAACAAACTACTGAATATATCAGAAAAGAAGCAGGCTCACAGATATAGAGAGCAAACTAGTGGTTACCAGTGTAGGCGGGGAGGGGCAATATGGGGAGGGGGAGGGGGAGGGGGAGGGGGAGGTGCAAGCTGCTGGGTGTAAGATGGGCTCAGGGATGTATTGTACAGCAGAGGGAATACAGCCAATATTTGGTAATAACTGTAAATGGAAAGTAATCTTTAAACATTGTATAAACAAAGAATTAGGCTTCCTTTTCATTGCTAATTTTGAATATTTCAGCCTCCTTTTCCTTTTTTTTTTTTTTTTTGCTGTACGTGGGCCTCTCACTGTTGTGGCTTCTCCCGTTGCGGAGCACAGGCTACCAGACCAGAGCTGTAGCTATTCATTCCAGGTTAAGGATGAATCTTCCCCTTTCATTCCTCCTAGATGTCTGGAATTTGTGATCCTTTCCTTTGATACAATTAGGTAGGACATTTTATGGATCCTTGGTTATTTTAAATTTCATTTAAGTATGCTCAGAGAATGTGGCTTATAGAACCTCTACTTTTTATTTATTTATTTATTATTATTATTTTTTTTGCGATACGCGGGCCTCTCACGTTGCAGAGCACAGACTCCGGATGTGCAGGCTCAGCGGCCATGGCTCACGGGCCCAGCCGCTCCGCGGCATGTGGGATCTTCCCGGACCGGGGCGCGAACCCGTGTCCCCTGCATCGGCAGGCGGACTCTCAACCACTGCGCCACCAGGGAAGCCCCTCTACTTTTTTTAACATGTGAAAGTTTTCTTTGTGGTTAAGTATATGACTAAATTTTGTCTTTAGTGGTTTAACAGTTAAGATTAAAAATATTAAAAATATATATATATAAAAAGAGAAATTAATCTTGCCATACTAATACTGTCTTTTTAAAATTTTGTGTGAGATACAAAACTTTTATTTTCTTTACCACTTTGTTTTGTGTTTCCTGTAAATAAGACACATTTGAATTTTTAACAAGGCTGATCTACAGTGTAAAACTTGAAATAGTTCATTTTTTATTTTCCATCTTGCTTTTTGTTTGCGATTGACTTTACCTCACTTCTTATTGTCCTTGCTTATTATTGCTGCATTGATTGAGTTACTGTTTATTCGGGTTTCCGCTTGCCAACACTCAGAATCAACCATATTTCTCCATTATTATATGTAAATAAAGACAGACTGTTTCTCCACCAAGGTGCTCTTCATCCCTCTGCTTCCACCTACCGCAGTGAGATGAATCCAATAAGATGGGGTGCAGCCCCATGCCCTGCACCCTCAAGGTGACAGCAATAAACTCCTTAGAGTTCAGAAATTTTACCTGAACACACCTAAAAATGTGTATCTTTTCTCATCAATCATCCTTGAACTCAATGGATCCTTTCAATACAAATAAAAAACGCTTTCCAGAGCCTTATTTGAACATGCCAGGTAAAATGGCTTGAAAAGGTCCGGATAAAAACATTTCTACCACTTCCTGGTTTAATTCTCTTAGAGACACAGCTTCCTGATCATGGAGAAGCTGGTGGTCCAGGGAGGGAAGGCCCGGCAGGGAGATTCTGACTCACCTGTGTGCAGAGACAGATGTCGGGACAATGTCTGCTGTCGGCCAAATACTTTCCCACACACGTCACAGGGAAAAAGCTGGTCGTTGAATTTCCAAGAGGGCAACCCATTTCCTGCCTCGAGGACTATCTTTTCTGTTTCTGGGCCAAAAGAACAAAGCAGCGTGAGGAATAAACAAGGCAACGTGAACACATTTCAGTTTAGTCAACATTCAGGGCTTAAGCAAAGACTTCCTTCTGAAGAATGTGGCTGGTAAACTGCAAATATTGATAAGTCCAAGTAACCTCTGGTCTTCACACTCAGCTCCTGTCTCTAAGAAGGCCATTCTTGAAAGTTGTGGTGGCACATGGATTTCAATTTTAGTCAAGTCTCCCGTGGTTTCTCTCCTTCCTCACTAAAGGTTAGTGGACCTAACCCTCCAGCAGGTTGACAGCTTGGTTTAGCACTGTGCTCAGTATACAGTTGGCACTCCATAAATAGGTGCTGAATGAGTGAATGGTTGAGTTGCATGTTAAAATTCCAGAAATGCAGACTCTCGCCACCAGACAGTAAATCAAGAGGGCCGAAGCTCAGATTCTGATGTAAAAATAGATGGTTCCATCTCTTGAAAGGAAATACACTTTCACTGCCCTTTATGAAAACAGGCTTTGCCCCATTTTCTGGGTTGTGCAGAATCCTTAATGAGGAACTTAATGTTACACAGACACAGGGATGACAACTGCATACTGCTGGCTATGGTCTGAATGTGTGTATCCCCCTGAATTCATATATCGAGACCCTAGTGCTCAAGGCTGTGGTTTTTAGAGGTCTGGTTTCTGCGAGGTGATTAGGTCATGAGGGTGGATCCTCATGAGTGGAATTAGTGCCCTTAAAAAAGAGGCCTCATGGGGCTCCCTAGCCCCTTTGCCCCGTGAGGACACAGCAAGGTGTAGGCAATTTGTGTCCTGGAAGAGGGCCCTCACCCGACCACGCTGGCACCCTGATCTAGGGCTTTCAGCCTCTAGAACTGTGGGCAATACATTTTTGTTGTTTATAAGCTACCCAGTCTGTGGTATTTTGTTACAGCAGCCTGAATGAACTCAGACACTACTCCACATAAAACTCCCTAATGCAAGAGTACACAACCAGAATTTCCCCCGAAGTCTCATCATATTAGGGAAAATGACGAGAACCACAAGGTCTTCTGTACCTAATTCACAGCCATGAATGACCTAAGTGGGCGTTAATACCTTCTCCTGTCATCTTAAAAAGTTTTTATTTTCTTGTCACCATTCATTGAGTTACCTTTAATTTTCTCACCCTTATTTCTTCTCACTGAACTGTAATGGATTCTACAAACATTCCTTCTACAGTAAGATAAGGAGAGAGATGACAGACTACCAAAAAGAGGGAAGGGGACACTTCCACGAGGACACTTGTCTGGGCCACTAATAGGGCTTTTGGCCTCAACTCTGAAGAGCAAGACAAATAATTTACTGAGTCAATATCTTGTCCTTTACCTCAGTAAATTCTTGTGAATGTTCCTACAGCACGGTAGCGCTTTATAGAACCGGATACCACATGGAAAGAACTTTTCATAAAAACCAAGCAGATGAAAACATTCAGACCACTGGGCAGAGACAGCATCAGAACAAAGAACTTGATTTCACACAATTTGGTTAAAACTCTTCCCATATACAAATACAGGCTTCCACCTGGATCTGGGTGAGTCAACTGGATCAATTTTAATTTGAATTCAGACTTGCCAGATAGTGTGATCTCAGGAAAGAAGTAAATACAAATGTATGTTTGGAATGGGGTGGGGGATTGATGGTGAAATTGCAACAATGTTTGCTGTGAGGCACCTGCCAGCAATCCTAACACTGATAAGGCACATTTATTGATTTACCTGTGTTTGTTAAATGTAGCTTTTTGGGCCTCAGAGAGAAGAGCTAGTCTTCTTATTAGAGTAGGAATGTGTGACTACAAACCTCTTCAGGGGAAGGGGCGGAATTCTGGGGGAAGGAAGGTGAAAAGGGAGGTACGGCGCTCTGAGATGTGTGGACAGGAACCACTCTCAGACGACCGCCCTTGAGTCCAAGCCATGGGCATTTCCACCGCGTGGAGCAAGAGGGTATTTTAGCAGCTCCTTTGAAGTGTGTTAATCAAAACAGTGCTTCAAAGGAGGATGATAGTAATAATTACAAGGAGAGATCAAGAGGTTACAGGGTCTTCCAATACATTCACAACAAGAATGAACTAATTGGGTCACAGACTGAACAAGCAGATGCAATTAAAAAGAAAGACATCTCTTAATAATATTAGTCACACGCTTGAGACGTTGAAGCATCATGAAAAGTCCAATTCCCTCCACTGGCCTAGAAAATGGTTCGAACCATGAAGGCTGTGCTGCGGGCAGGCAGAAGGCCCACCTGCAGCCGCGGAGGCAGGAGAGGCACCACGGGGGCGGCCAGGCTTGGTCAGCCACACCCCTGGGGCCTGGACCCAAGCCTCACCCCGCTTGCTGTCTGCATGTGCTACGGCCGCCCGTTGTCATTTCACATGCAGGAGCAAGGCAACCTGGCCATAGGAGCCTCATCCCAGAACACAACCTTGAAATCACAGCGGGGTGAGGCTGGAGGTGGAGGTGCAGGGGCGAGAGGGGAATTACCACTTTGCCTAAACAAGTACTAAAGTAAAAGCCCTGCTCTTCTTTTCCCGGAGCTCAGCAGATGCTACGTTCTCCCACATTTCCTGGAGATGGTGTCAGCCACATGCCATGGGAGAAAAACACAGAATTTTTTGATTCTTCCTGTCTCTGTGTATGTACCACCAAAAGCTGTCCATCTGGTTCCAGAGTGATATCTGAATGTGATGGACACCCAGCAAGGCCAGGCTTTAGAACGACCACAGCCTGCCTTGTGGAAGCTGGACTGGCCCCATCACCGTGGAGGGCTGCCAGCTGGGACACCGGCTCTCCAGGAAGCATTCTGGAAGACAGCAGCACACTCTGTCTGCAGCTCTTGAGGATCGAAAGTTGCCAAAAATATTGAAAACTGTTTAAATTGTGAACCTATTGATGTTTATAAAAACAGATGCGTAGGCCTGTACTAATCGCTACACGTTAGCAATACAGACTAACCCTACATTAAGCAAATCACTGCACGGACAGTGGCGAGTGTCCCCAGGGTGTGCATCTTAAAGCTCAATTCATAGTCACAGGTACTGTTCTCCATCTCCTTCTCGGAAGAACCGAATGAATTGGCCTGGTTACCTCTGTGGTCACATGCTACAGGTTTAACAAAAAGATATCACGATTTGATTTCTGTGTGTGTGGACACTGTGAAAGCTAAAATTGCCATATTTTAATGTAAAGTTTTCCTGTTCTTTGATTTTTGATAAACTTTGGAAACCAAAAACAACAGCAACAACAACAAAAAACCACAAAGACCTCAAAGATCTTTCTGGAATCCCACTGCCTTAACTGAGTCATCATCACTCACCAGGACTGTTGCAAAAACCTCCTAAAGAGCCTCATGGGTACCATTCCAACAGCCCCTCTCTCAGTTCCAACAGCCCCTCCTCATGGGTTCCAGAATGATCTTTCTGAGGCCCAGATCAGGTTATGTCTCGCCCTGTGTTCTAATGGCTTCCCCAGGCCAAACTCCTGTGCATGGAGCCTGAGGTCCTTCATACTCTGGCTCCAACCATCTCCCCACTTCAGCTCCCCACTTCACCTCCCACCATCCAAGGGCTCCGCGGAGTGAGCGACTCGCCTTTTCGGGAACAAGCTAGTGCCTTTGGAGACGTCACTGCTTTTGAACCAACTATGCCACCACCCCCCCCCCACGCCAGCAGCTACTCCCCACCTTGGCACCTCTTTCTGCACACAGACTCCAGCTCATTTTCAAGCGCTATCTCAGACTGCATCTCCTTGGTAAAGCCTTCCCCAGTTCCCCAGGTAATGAGTCATTTCCCCTTCTCTGTCCCAAAGCACTTTTATGAATACTCTATTGCACCACTTTACCTGTTATATTATTTATTTACATATCTTCTATATTATATGCAATTTTTTTTTTTTTTTTTTTTTTTTTTGTAAACATAGGATTTTGATGGTCCCTCCTTGTGGATGTTGAAGTCACTGAAAATGACAAGATGACCTGGCTGAAGAAGATTTAAGCGAGGCCTCAACCACTGCACCACCAGGGAAGCCCCAGGTGCAAGCACTTTTATCCCTTACAGTACAGTCGGGAATATGGGAACAGGGCATTTGGAAAGTCACCTCATCTTAGTGGTCCCAATGCAAGGCTCTTAGCTCCTCCCCTTTTTGGTGAACTGAGGCCCCTCATTCATAGTGGTGAGGCCCAATAGCCAAGAGACAGGATGCCAAACTCCTCCTCTTGTGACCTAGTCATCCAAGGGGAAAGGTCTCATTTCATGCACAGATCCTGGGAAGATGAAACCCATCCATCAAGTATTTCTCCAAAAACTTCCATGAAAGAAACCCATCTGGTACATTTGCAGAGGGAGCTCCATCAAACTCTACGTGACAGAACATTGCATCCAGTAGAGGACTCAGCTTTTTTTTGAATCCAACTCCTTCATTTCCATAAGGATGAAACCGAGGTATAAAATTCCAGGACCTCTTCCACCTCAGTGCACCCCACAACCTGTACAGGGTTGAATAATAGAATCAAGGTTTCCAGAGTCACTAAGGCTCCCTCCTGCCCCAAACCTTAGTTCAGGGAGGAACCGGAAGGATCGTCTTGTTCAATGTTCTCTTCCTACGTATAAGGGAAGTGAGACCCAGAGGACTGAATTGATTGCCCAGGTAACCTGGCTAGTGATGCTGGGAGAGGAGAGAGCAGACCATGGGTCTCACTGAAGCTCCTCCAAGCCATATGGGATCACTGCCAAAGGTGCCCACAAACAAGGAAGGGACTTTTCTTTCTCCTCTTGTGTTTTGGCCCTGAGTTTAATTTCTTGGTTACAAGTGGACACGTGTAGATTTAGCAAAAATTCACAGACACCAGGATTTCTTTCCGTCTCTCTTCTTGAAGGTGTTAGCCTAGAGTATTTCCAGCAACAGAGAAATTAGAAACTGTAATATGTCACGAAGTAGAATAAAGAAGGAACAAGAGGAAGATCAAACGGGAAAATC